TACTGCTAGTAGAATCGTGTGTGATTATTAAAAACTCTGAGTGGCAACTGTGCCTGTGTTGGCTTGGAAAAGCAGTCAGGATACACTGCTGCTAAGAGTGGCAGCGTCAGGCAGTTAGGGGTGAGGGCTCTGGGCACAGGCAGCCTGGGCTCAGCCCACTGCAGCCTTTCAACGAGAGGCTTCAGGAAAGTTTCTCTTTTTCTTTTTTTAAATTTAATTTTTAGTTCACAAAGATCGTATGTATTTATCAGCCGTATCACTAGATCTCTTCATAGTCTTCGTCTCTGACTGAATGTGCATAACCTCGGACCAGCTCTCCTCAGTTCTGTTGCCCCCAGCTGCAGTAGCTACCATGCTCCTCTTCAGCCAGTTCAACGTTTTACGCTCCACATGCAAGTGAGATTGTGTAGTACTGTCTTTCTGTGTTTGACTTCATGAGGGTAACACGCTGCAGTTCCTCCTCCTGCCTCAGCATCCCAAGTGCTGGGATGACAGGCTTATGCCACCAAGCCCAGCAACCTCAGTCCGATCATCGCACCTTGATAAAAGTGTTATCTTTTTCACCTACATTTCATCTACTTTTCAGAAACATAACGAAGCTCACCTGCCGTCTCTCGAGTCCTTTCTGTCTCGATTGTGGGTGTGCAGAACAGCATGATCTGGCAGGGCCTGCTCTCTGCTTCTCCAGCATCTTCCAGGGTGCACTGTTTCGCCCCGCCTTCCCCAGGTGTCCTGCCTTATTTCGCTTGGTCAGCATTTAGGTTGGCTGTGTCGCCAGAGCCTTGATTCGCTGAGACCAACTGCCCCTGGACACCTTTCCCTTTGTGTCCCATTACCAGCTCCACATGGGTTCTGAGACACAGTGCCTGTTTCCTGCCACCTTCCCTTGCCCTCCTACTCACCCCGTCCTCATGAAGCCACTGTCATCGACTCGGTCACTGAGGCTATGTCCCCGAGGGGCAGCGGTCTCTTTCCTGCTTCCCATTGCAATGCATACACAAGTCTTGCCAGTTTGACTACTGAGGGTTTTTTTTTTTTTTTAAATTTGTCCCTCTGTAGTAATCTGAAGGAATGACCAAGTAAAGGAAAGCGCTCTTGAGGATATTGTGTAAATAGAATATTGTGATCAACCTTGGTGATCATTCACCAGAAAATAAGGAGAGAGAAATGGAGGCATTAGGAGTACGTATCACATGCACTCGAAGGCTGTCATTCTGGAGTGAGAACATCCTCAAACCACCTCATTTTGTTTGCTTAGATGTTACTTTTAAAGAAATAAACTGTTTTATTAAGCGATGAAAAGTACATCCCCCCAAAATTGAGTTTCCAATGTAAAAGTTTTGGTCTATTGAGCAAGTCAGCCTAAGTCAGTTTTTATTCAGGGCTTGTTGATGACTCAGGCAGTGGCGGCCGCTTTCTACTGGTCAGTCTTCTTCTGGCAGAAGTGGGAGAGGGGAGGGGAGGAGGGTTGCAGTTTTACTTGCATTCTCCAAGTGCAGGTTAGTGCAGAAAGTGACCCGTGTTCACACGTGCCTCCAGGGGTACGCAGAAATAGCGGAGAGGCATAAATGGAGTTGGCTGTGTGCGCCATTCTTTGGGGGAGCTCTGGGTTTTTAACTCACTAAAGTTTGAGAGCATGCGAACATAGTCCTGCATCTGCTTTAGGTTTTCTTTTCTTTGTCTTTTTGAGACAGGGTCTCACTGCACAGTCCAGGCTGGCTTTGCCTCGCTTTGTAGCCCAGGCTGGTCTCATACTCACAAGGATCCTCCTGCCTCAGCCTCCTGAGTGCTGGGATGACAGGTGTGGCTCACTGACCCTGGCAACCTTCACCTGCATTACAGTAAAACTCGGAAGTATCTGTGGTAGAGTTGTTGGCTGTTAGAGATGACACATTTGTTTTCATGACTGCCTAATTGGATATATATATATATATATATATATATATATATATATATATATATTTTTTTTTTTTTAATTGGTACCGGGGATCGAACTCACGACTGTGTGCTTACAAGGCAGGAGCTTATGCCTTTGAGCTAAATCCCCAGCCCCAGTAGAGAAAGTATATTAACATACTGTTTGAGTTTTAGGTTTTCCTCAAACTGTTTGAGAGGAAAATTTTTAAAACACTTCTTCAGCAGTTTTGTACCACTAACGAGTTAACCTACTGTGGGTTCTTTAGGATCGTTGACTTTGTTATGTGATAAGACACGTGACTTCACTAGGTGGCAGTTCGTATTTTGCTCTTCTCTTTATATGGGAATAACTTCATAGTTTAACTCTGACAGTGATGTTGTAGAAGGTATTTTCTACTTTATGAGGTCTTCCTGAGAAAGACTGAGAATTAGTTTGGGGATCTTCCTTTGCATGAATCGGAGGTGTCAGTTCTGTGATCACCTGGAAAGCACCATCAGTACCCGTGGTAGACTCAATTTGAAAACCGCTTGATGGTGACAAACGAAGAGAGACAGCCTTTTGAGAAGTGTACCATGTTTATCCGCCAGCCTTGCCCCAAGAGATATTTTTCTTTGAATGAAGGGAAGGGAAAGGAAGTAGACATTTCTGACGCCCCACCAGGTATCAGGTGTTATTTAATCTGTGCATAATCCGTCGCTCGCCCTACCAAGCCACACCACCAGCAGGGTACTAGACCTGCTGTCTCTCCTCGCTGTGAACAACAAAACGTGTAACTAATTTAAAACTGTCTGTGTTCTTTAAAAGTCTGAATTGCTGTAAGGAAACCTTGATATTATAGGCAGAGTACAAGCACTCTGAAAAAATGTGTAACTCTTGCTTGTCTTTTTTTTTTGCTCTTGCGAAATACAATCTTCCTTAGATCCAACCGAGGATTAAAGTGTTGAACATTCTGAACTTCCTTGGTACGGCAGCCAGCTGGCCTGTTTTCCTAGCAAAACATTTTCTGATTTGACCACAGCCTCTCTCCATCAGTCGTTACCGGTTTGAATAATAGAAAATGCTGTCATAGTGGGCACCTGATCATGAAAACTGATACCAGGAGTACATTTTCATTTGGATTTAAAATGTTTTTACAGTCCCAGTATAAACACTGTTAATCTAGTCAAAACCTTTTCTCCCAAGATCAAGGGTTTGCATAGTTTTCCTTTAACTCCTCAGAGTCCACAGAATGAGAATAAGTCGTGTATTTACAAGAGGCAGAATCTCTGTATTAAGTGGGAAGGATGTCACAGTAAAAACACCTAGGAGTTTTTGAGATAAAACAGTGTGGTTTTGAGACCCTGAACAACTGGTTTTATTTACCACCACTTGGGCATTTTCTAGGCTGTAACCTCTGTGGGATGGGGAAGGAAACTGCCAGTTTTTGATGCGATGCTGGGAAGTTACAAATCTGCCTTTATGTTTGAGCCACACATTCAAGGTCTGATGGTTACAATTTTTTTGGTTGTTCATTGAACTAGTTTCCTAGATGGTGTTAATTTTCTTTCTTTTTTTAAAAACTATAGTTAATTTTTCGTGTTCATGATATAACAGATTCTAATCCTCAGACAATTAGAATAATTTTCTTAGTTTCCATATAGATGAGTAAAGAGCCCCTATTTTAAGTCAGTTTGGACACCTTGTCATAAATTCGAATCGTAATAGCACATGTGGCAGATTGTCATAAAAGATGCATACATTAAGAGTCAAATATATAGAAAATAGTGTGTGGTTTGGATGCCTGGTTTCTGCATGTTACTCTTCACGGGTAAATACGATATTCCAGTTTAGTCGCAGTGAATTATGGTTCAACTTATCACCCACCCTTCTTTAAGTGCAGGTAATGGAAAGATCTTGGTGTTAGCAGAAACTGAAACTAACTAGAAGACAACACCTAGTACACTTACAGAGCACGTGCAGACTCTTCAGTGTTGTTACTCACGCTCCGTTGGAAAGGAATAGTTGGGATTTTGTTACTGATTAAGGCTGGCAGTTTTTGGAAGTCGCCATTATTAGCATCTAGGGTATGATCTGGGAGAAGAATGCAATAGTAGAAAACAAGTAAACACACGTTAGCCACGTCCGCTGAGTGTATCTTGGGGAAATTAAAGTAGAAATTTAAAGCTTTACGGTTAGGCTGTGTGTGGTGGTACAGGCCTGTAATTCCAGCACTTGGGAGGCTGAGGAAGGAGGATTGCTGAGTTCAAGGCCAGCCAGAGCTACAAGGTGAGTTTAAGGTCAACCTCAACTGCAGCGTGAGACTGCCTCAAACAAAATTAGAGAAGCTTAATGGTTAGATAAAATGTTGATGCACAAACCTGTTAGTAATGTTGCTGAGTCTCTAAGTAACTGCAGCCACTTTGCAGCCTGTTTTATTTCTTCAGGAAAAAAATGTCAAAAGACACAAGAAAAGAATAATTTGGTCTGATTAGTAGCATCCAAAGAACTGACAAAAAGAAACCTGACTTTTGCTTCTTTGCACTTAGGTGTCCATTTAGCATGTCTATGGGCAGGGAGAAATCAAAATTGTTTCCTAGCCCTAGCTCTGGTTAGCACTGCTAGTTGGCTTTGGCTGTACCAATAATGAAACATAATTTAAACAATTCACCTCTATGTCCGTACTGTCCGTACAGCATTTAGAGTAGTTTGTTATTTGGAAATTCCTTATGGCATTGACAATTTTTAAATCCCGTCAGAAATGAAAGCTGCGTTAGCTAACAGGAAGTGCTGTAAATACTGATGGAAGCAAATGGTTCCCGGTCAGGAGTATTTAAGTGCCCCCTTCTGCTCACCTGCGCCTGCTCGCTGAGTGGAAGAAGCTTCGTGCAATTCAGAAAATAAGACAACCATAAGACAATAACTGTTTGCCAGTTTCGTCCTGTGTAAGCTCCCCTCAGCTGCTCCTATTTTATGGATCCATCGTTTTCTTAGACTTTACTGTAACAGCTTCTCTTTGTGCTCCCCACATCAGTGCCACTTAGCAAATACTCCGGCACCCCGACTTTACCCTTTCGCTGATGCTGGCTTGCGTCCTCTCTTTCAGCACTGTGGAGAATTCGTGGTCTCCCTCAGTGACGTCCTGATGACATGGAAATACTTGCTGCACGAGAAGCTGGACTTACCTGTTGGGCATATGGCAATGGCTGACCATTACGAGGATGTCAAGAAGACTTACGAAGATTTCTTGAAGAATAGTAATATGCTAGATCTGATTGACGTTTATAAAAAATGCAGGATTTTGACTTCTAGTTCTCACAATAAGGACATTATAGCCCCTGTAAGTATTTTCTAAATAAATAATCCTACTTTAATCAAATGAAAGTGCGGCTAGATTTACTTGGATGTTAAACTATAGTTCTCGCAGCATAGTAACTTGGTGAGGGTTTGAAGAGGGGAGAGGACAGGCTTTAGTCTGCATAGTGATGGCAGGATTAAAGCCGAAGCCGATGGTTTGGCTCTCAGGATCCTGTTAAGAATGGAAAATTTAATTATCTGGGAGCTAATTATTACTTGAAAGAAATATTATGGTGAGAAGTTTTGTTGGGCTTGTGTTACTGTTACTGTTTTTGGATGACGTAAGAATCCTTTATTTACCTGCAGTGTATTATTTAATTAATTTTAATTATAGGTTAAATGTGAGTGTCTTTAACAAAAAGTTAAATAGCGTGTCTCAAAGGAATAGAACTTAAGAATCTCATCTCCAATAAGTGTAAGCATTTATCAGGCGGGTGAGAGGCAGATTTATGAAGTACTGTCAGAGTGTCGCGTTAATACCTTTTACGAAGAATTCTGCGTATTCGTAAGGCCTGCCAGTGAATGCCAGGCACCGGAGCATCTTACATTCGGTAGAGCTGTGCTTATTTATACCCTGTATGTCCTCCAGATCCAGCTGCGGGATTTTCTCTTGGACAAGGAGCGTGAAGTAGAGGATGAAGCTGGTCTTTGTCCACCATCACCCCTGAAATACAGCGAGGATGATGAAAAGGTATCGGTGAGCTATGAAGAGATTAAAACGGTGTGATCGCCGCAAATTGCCATGAATTTGTTAGCTTACTAGAATTATTAATGTTTTGTTCTTTTTAAATTTTTACAAGTTTTCAATTTTTTTTTTTTTTGGTACCAGGGGATTGAAGTCATGATCTCCAAATTGCCAAGCAGGTGCTTATGCTGCTGAGCTAAACCCCTAGCTCTCAAATTTTTTTTTAAATAAAATGACTTGCAAAGTGTAATATTTTGCACTGGGAAAAGTATGAATTTTTTTTTTTTTTTTTTTTTTTTACTTTTGAGATGGGTCTTTTGCTGTGTAGTTCAGGCTGGCCTTGAACTCATTTGGTAGCCCAGGCTGCTCTTGAATTTGCAGTGATCCTCCTGCTCCAGCCTCCTGAGTGCTGGGATTACATGTGCCACCGTGCCCTGCAATATTTATGATTTTTGAACCAAGGTAACTGGCATAAGCAAAAATAGGCATCATTCAGAATACCGAAGAAACAGTTGAAAATCCAATTTCTCTGAAGTCTGCATCTTTCTATTCAGTAAACTTTGCTATTTTGGATGACGGAGTCTTGAATGGTGTATTCAGTTGCACAGTTAGGTCTGTACCCTTCGCAGTAGTACAACGGGTGTAGCAAGAGTGTGTTACCAGGCTTCGGTGTGCAAGTGAAGAACAGGAAATTAGTGTCCCTCTCAGGCCTGATTTAACATAATTTAACTTTCAGTTTAATACTGTGCTGGCCATGTAACCACATATTATAAACCCCACTAACCAAGGAAATTATGATCATGAAAGTTTTGTGATTAATTAAACCACTGTTAAGACGTGAGCTTAAGAGTTTTGGAAGGAAAGAGTAAAGTTTTACTTAACATATTTTTAAAAATATCATGCCCATATATAACAACTCTGAAATGCACTTCCTCTTGACAACACTGGCTCCTGCATTAGGTGAACACATTTGCTGAGTTATCGTTTTCATTTTTCAGGAAACCTTGCTGAGGTAGATTCTTCTCTAAATCCCTTATTATTCTGATTGCAATTTGAAAGGCAACTTTTATCACTGTCTTCAAATAAATACTCACATTCCTGCTTCCTGGATTTAACAGCGTGCTTTTTATCTGTGTTTAATTTTTCTCTGTGTTCTTTGAAAATAAATTGCCAATATCATGTGGCACCTTGTCCCTAAAATTCTTCAACTTACATTTTTTGGTAATGTATGGGAATAAATAGCCACAATGTTATTATCCATATATAAAAACTTACACAGTATCCACTAATATAATTTACTACATTCTGTATTCGAATTTCATGTTTGGTTTTCATGTCTCTTTAGAGTCTTTTAATTGATAAAGATTCCTCTTTTTTTTTCTTCCTTTCTATTTGTCTGATGCATACTTCACTTTTTTTGGTTTTGCTTCTGTTTTGTCTTTTTGTGGTGCTGGGGATGCACCTAGAGCCTTTGCACTGGGCAGCGTCTCCTGCCTTGTTCTGCTTTTTATTTGGGGGCAGAGTCTTGCTAAGCGGTCAGGTTGCCGTTCTGGGCTCACACTTGGAATCCTCCGCCCCCGTCCCAGATGCCTGGCTCACAGGCGTGTGCCCCGTACAGGTTATCTGGTATTCTTTAACTTGTTTTACTAGTTATTGTATTTGTAGTAAGCTGGAAGTTAAAAGTTTAGATTTAGGCTCAGTAATTTTTAAGAGTTAAAAGTTTAAAGGTGGCATTTCAGCAGGAGGCACAGCTTAGGCTGTCCTGGGGTGTCGCGCTCTCCCTTAGGTAGTGGAGGCTTGCTCACTCTTCTCTGTGCAGAGCTCCGTGCTGATACTTTGGTCGTCTGTGATAATCCTCTTCCTGACCTTGCACATCAGGGTTCTGTATATGCCTGCATCCGTTATTTCTTTTCTTTTCTTTCTTTCTTTTTTTTTTTGGTATGAGGCATCGAACTCACGATCTTGTGCTCGCCAGGCAGACACTGGTGCCACTGAGCTAAACCCCTGGCCCCAATAAATTTTTTGTTTCCTTAGCATTTGTAGAATGCTGAGCTTGTAATTCTGTCACTTCTACATTAATTACTTGCTATTTCTCAGTAAAGCAAAGCTTTATTCTGTCAAATGGTGTCAATCACATTTCTCTAAAAGTGCTGTGGTCACTGCCACATTTCCTTACTAACTAGGAGCTGGTCTAACATACACACAGGGGCAAAGCACATTTCATCTGGCGTTCTTCTTAGGACTCAGAATTGTCATTCATTCATTGTTTTGAACTGGGTTGCTCTCTTTGACTTTTGAGCTAACGTAGAGGGAACACTAAAGAACTTGCTGTGTCTTTTCTATGCATCCTGTCAGGCTTTTTTAAAAAGTTAATTTCGTTGGTACACTTTTGGTTTATGTGATGATCGCGTTCATCCTAGGGAATCTGCACCCGTACGTGGTATCTCCTGAGTCTTCTCTCTTCCCCCTTCTCCTCCCTGCCCTTATCAGACTTCTCGGGCATTTTCTTCTCCTTTCTGGTAGAAGGAAGAATTGCAAGCCCATTTTGAATGTTTTCTGCCTGTTCCTCCAGGTTCCTTTTAACTTGCTGGTATAACACCCGTCTAAAACAGTGATCTCTTGTTACCCCCCTGACATTTGGGAAGAGTAATGTAGTCTGCCCCAAGTCAAGGCAGACAAGGCCATGTTTACGCTGTAATAAGGAACCTTCTTATGTTCCTGCAGTTAATTTAATGTCCTCTCCATTCACAATATTTCTGCTACTCAAACATAAGGACTTCCTGGACCAGGACGTGCATACCCAATACTAACTGGAGGCAAAACAGAGCTGGGGCATCCGTACCTCGAGCTTGTTCTTTGTGGCCAGCAGAGGCTACACTTGTGATCTGGGTGCTGGGAGAACTTGAGGGACATCACGGAGTCCTGCTCCTTTACCTCACACTGCCGTGGGGCATCTGTCCCCGTCCTTACGGCTGGGTAACCTGGCACTTGCACCTTCCCTGCTCTTGTGTGTGCAAGTGGGCTGTCTAGGGTGGAGTCCACGCACACACAGCCACGTCTAGGAGCCAGGGCCGAGTGAAGGGTGACCAAGATTCTGAAAAGTGGGGCCCTGCCCTGTTTGTTTAATGAACTGATTCTGTCCACACCGCAGAGTGTGGACAGTGTTTGTTTAGAAATCAGCGTTCGTTTAGAAATCAGTTTTATTTAAGCTTTCGGACAGCTCCACGTTTCTTTGGCCTACCCTTAATTCTTACTGACATACAAAGATTTAATCTCAGTTTGAAGAAAGTCAGTTTCTAAACTGAAAAAGCTTGTAATTAGTACAGATATTTTTTACTTAACATACAGTGACCTCCAAAAACTGGACAATCATCCTGTTCTTGTGCTTTACTTGAAAGGGTAAAGACAGGAAGAGAGTTCCATACGAGGGATTTAAAATTCGGATGAAATCATGTTTATTGGTTTATTTTTTTTCCCTTGGATTTTGCTTTTTGTGTCATGCGTAGGAACTTTTTGCCTAATCCAGGTTTTGAACATTTCCTCCTATATTTTGTTCTAAGTGTATTATAGCCTCTCATGGTACACTATGACCCACTCTGAGTTCATTTTTGTTAGTGGTGTGTGAGGTTTTGGCAGGTCCAACATTGATTGGTGGAAAGATTATCATTTCCCTATTTCTTTCGTGTGTTTGTCTGAAAATCACATCATCTCACCCATGTCACTCTGTTTCTGGACTCTGTTCTAGTCCACCGGGTATGTGTTTTCATAGATCTCCTGTTTATTGATGGTTTTAATTCTCAGTAATTCTCTGGTCAGTTCCCCACACATTCATCACATTGTTCCGGGGTCTTCTGCCTCCCGTATTTCTCAATGATCTGTTAAAGTTTTCTGTTCTCCTGTAAGTTGTACATTATTTTACTCTGACTGCTTTCAGATTTTCGTCTCCTCTTCGGTGGTTAGAGGTGGAGTACAGTGTGTGTAGGAGTGAGTTCCTGTGTGTTTCTCCTGCCGGAGAAGCTTCTTGGATTTACAGGTTAACGTTTTACAATTTGGGATGTTTTGACACATAATTTCATCTTGCTTTTTTCTAGTCTTATGATATCTCTTCAGGGATTCCAATTATATGTGTGTTGGACTTGTTTAAATTATCTCCTGGATCACTTTGGTTTTTTTAAAAAATAATTTCTGTCCTTAATTTTTCAGATTTGGTGATTTCTGTTGATATATCTTGTTCATTGATGCTTTGTTTGACTCTCTCCAAATTGCTATGGAGCCCATCCAACAAAATTTTACTTGTTAGTTCTATAATTTACTTTTTAAGAGCATGCACTTTTCTGTTGACATATTTTCTGTTACTATTTATTTATTTTTTGAGACAGGGTCTTGCTATGCAGTTCAGGCTGACCTTGAACTTACAATGATCCTCCTGCCTCAGCCTCCCAACAGCTGGAATGACAGGTGTGCGCTGTCACACCTGGCTTCTGTTATTTTATTGATAGCATATATTCCCTTAACTCAGTGGACATTTGCTTATAATTCCTTGACATAATTTATAGCTGTTGTCTTGATGTGATGGCTGCTAAACCCTATGACGAGGTCTTCTTGGTGAGTTTCTCTTGATATGTCCCTTTTTCTTTGAGTGTCTGGTGGTTTTGGATGAAACATTGCAGCCAGTATTTTATAGCGACTCTGAGTTCTGTTACCGTCTTCTGAGCGATGCCTTCTGTTCCGCAAGGGATTTGCTTGCTGGGTGCCTGTGTTTCCTCTCCCTGTTGCTGTGGGGCTGCTGATAGCGATTCTGGTGGCTCCCTCCATTGTTGTCTCGTGTGGCTTTTGCAGGTAACCCTTTCACCCACCAGACTTGGTGGTCAGCCAAGGGCGCTGCTTATTCGCCTGGTGACTTCCTTTGCTGCCTACAAATTTTCCATTTCTACCAGGCGCGGCCCCTGCCTCTCACCCTGAGAGCCTGTTCAGCTTCGGGTTTTGCCACTCTAGCTCTGCTCAGTTCTTTAACACCACGGGCCAAGCAAGACTTCAGGCCGCACCGCAGGCTCTGTGCAGCTCAGGCTTTGTAGAAGAGATGCTGATTTGTGCTCACATTTTGATGGAGCCCTAGGCTGTCTCCCATGCTGCACGTCGGCTGCCAGCTGCTTATGTTCTGAGTTGTCGCCAGGATTTCTCCCTGTGCCTTTCTACCTGCTTTGTTGGCCCTGAACCTTGATCTCTAGCCCTTCCCCGCATTTTCTGTAACCTAGATTCTTGGGCCAGTAAACCGAAAACTTAATTCATACCCTTCTTGTTGCAGTTATTTTAAAATTAGAGTCTCCTCCAGCCTCGTCTGCCTTTTGAACACTTTCCAGTGTCGTTAAATTGTATTTTGAAATGTTTATTTACTACGTGGAAGTTGTTATCTGCAGGATTCACATGATTACTTACTTCCCAATTACTGGAAGTTGCAGGGCCTCAAATAATCATAAACTTGCAATTTTTAGCTCTCTTGTTGGGCCTCATTTAACAGTAAATTCCCCATCTTGTGTCTGCTTTTTGGGTGTTTTCCAGTGTTTTTATACCATTCCATTTAAAACATTTTCCTTAATAAGTTTTAGTTGTTATCTGTGGGGTTCACATGACTGCTTCTCCCTCAATACTGGAAGTGGCTATAAATAGCTAATTTTAAGAAAAAGATTATCAAATGTCTTGGTTTATCATGAGTCTGAAGATTAAGTGCGGTACGCATTAAAGGCCTAAATCCTCCCAAATCTGTTGTGTGAGTCTGGCCTTTAGCTCTGCCCGGGCCCGGTTAACCTTGTCATAAATATACACAATTGTTCCCTTAACGTTTGGCTTCTTCTCTTCATTTTAACCTTTGGGTGATCATTTGATGTTAGTAGTTCTCTAGAGTTTAACCCTTCCGCGTTAGCCCTTAAGCCTGGCATGTGAGGGAGGCAGACGTAGGGATGAAACAGAGCCGGGGACTCACACAGGTGGCTGCTGGGAACTTTATTGTCTTAGCTCGCAGCAGATGTACTCAGGGAAATGAGACGAGACCACGACAGAGGTGTAGAGATGAGCAGTATCTTTCGTATCATATGCTACGAGCAGCTTTCTAACAATGGTGATAGTTGTTACTCACAGTTCCGTGTTGGCAGCGAGGCGATCTTATGAGAACGTGCCGATGATCCAGTCGACGTTTTAGCTTGTGTGACAGTTTTCTTTTCCTAAAGAGCTGTAAAGTATCGTGATTGGATGATCATAGGTATTGTTACTGTGCATATAAAACCATTATGGATTTAGAACAACTCCAGTAAGGAAAATAACTGAATACTTTATTGAACAGGTGAAGCTACTAGCAAAGAAAATTTTCTTTTCATATTTAAACCTGCTAGTGAATTCCAAGAATGACCTGGCCCTGGCTCATATCCTCAACATTCCCGACAGAGGACTTGGAAGGGAGGCCTTCACCGATTTGAAACATGCTGCTCGAGAGAAACAGACGTCTATCTTTTTGGTATGGTTGTGTATGTTTTTAAGATTCAGAGTCTGTAAGCTGCAGGTCTACATATTTTAAAAAAGAGTTCCCGCAACTATAATCAAACACTTTTTAAGTGGCTGATCTAGGTTCCATCTGTGTACTTGAAAAACTATGTTATATTTATTTATTTACTTATTTTACTGTATTCTTCAAGCTCGCAAGGGAGGGTTTCTCTAAGGCAGGATTCCCCACAGACGTCCTGTAGAGTGCTTATCCATACTGTGTGTTTGTTATCAGGAGCTCTGAGACCCCGTGTCTTAGTTATCCAGAAGGGTGACAGAGGCCACATGAGGTTCCAGAATGGCGGCAGTGATGTGAGGTTCCAAACTCACAGCATTTTAAAATATCCTGCTCGGCTCTTTGCTCTTGATTTGCAACATAAAGCTGGCTAAAAGCCTCCAACAATAGCCATGCCACTGACTCTGTATTCGACCATCTTGAAATTTCTTCTGCCAGTTTAATCAATCCTCCGCCCTTCATCTCAGTCTCGGGCAGAGTCTCTGCACGTGAGTAGAATGTAGGCAAACTTTCTGCCAAGCCGTAACAACCAACATAGTCCTTCTTCCCAGCAGAAACCTCCCAAGTCTGGTCTTTGCTGGCAGGTTTTCTATCAGCCTCCTGGTCTCCTGAGCCCTAACCAGAATCTCCACTACAACACAGCCTAAGGTGTTCCAATGCCACTCTTTCAGGTGACATCTCTGAACCTTTCCAAACTCTGCCCACAAGCCATTTCCAAAGGCTCTCAAACCACATGGGCAGGTACAACAATGACCCCACTCCACTGATGCCAAATTCTGTCTAACTTTTTTCTTGTTGCTGAGACAAAATGCCTGCTGCCCAAAATTAGGGAAGGAAAGGTTAGTTTCTTACAGTTCTTAGAGGTTGCAGTCCCTACTCAGTTGGCTCTAAGGCAGGGTGGCATGGCGGGGCCGCAGTTCATGGCAGCCACAAAATACAAGGCGTGAATGGCAAGAGAGGAAGACACACCTTCCTCCTGCCTTTACATCACGTGCTGGCTGCAGTCCTAGGCCAGAGTAGCGCTCACACCCCCAGTCCAAGCGCTAGCCAATGAACCAGTCACAATGCTAGATTTGTCCAGTACATGATTCATGAGACTTGGGGGCCGCTGACCTAAACAATCACAGACAGTTTGCTGTAAAGAACTCTGCTTGCTTAGGAAAAAGGCCAGGATATCCATTCAAAAGGGTACAAATAGGCAAGGGTGAAGCCACGTTATCCTTGTTGGTAGATGTTACAATCCTTACTTAGAAGACCCTAGAGATTCTACCAAAAGACTTGTGGAGCTGATAAATGAATTTAGCAAAGTACAAAGATAAAAAAGTAAAAATCAGTAATTTTAATATCCACTAATAGTGGACTGAGAAAGAAATCAGGAAAGCAATTCGGTTTACAATTGCTTTAAATAAAATAAAATCTTAGGGATCAGTCTAACCAAGGAGGAGAAGACCTCTGCACTGAAAATTTCAGGACACTGAAGAAGGGATAGAAGACTCTAGAATCTGGAAAGCTGTCCGTATTCACAGATTGGCAGAATTAGCCTTGTTAAACTGGCCTTAATACTGAAACCAGCCTACAGAATCAATGCATTTTTCATCAAAATACCACTGACATTCTTTGATAAGTAACACTAAAGTTCATAAGGGAACGTGAAGGACCCAGGATAGCTGGAGCAGTCCTGAGCTCAGAGAGCAAGGCTGGAGGCTTCACATACCCAATTTCAAAGCCACCATCACCAAAACCACATGGTAAGGGTACAAAAATAGATACACAGACCAACAGGACAGAATAGAGGATCCAGAAACAAACCCATACAACTACGGCCATGCGATTGGGTCTGGTATTTCTCCAAGAATCTGGAAAAAGATACTAAAGGTAGATGTCGGGGAAAAGCAAGCAGATGTCTCCTTTGCTGGCTGAGTTCTGCGTGGCCCTCGGTTGCACGGTTCTTGGCTCCAGGGTCCGAGCAGCTGAGCCTCACATTGCATGGAGGCCCCCGCTTCCCAGAGCACGCGGTGGTCTCCCCTCGCCGACTGGTGACCTGACTGAACCTCTTGGTTTTGTTCGCAGGCGGCCACGTCGTTTATCAGGAGGATTGAGCTCGGGGGGAAAGGCTATGCACCCTCGCCCTCTGACCCTCTAAGGACACACATAAAGGGATTATCTGACTTCGTTACTTTCCTGGACAAACTACATGAGATTCTCGGAGAAATACCTGACCCAAGGTAATAACTTTCCATAAATTACTCAGCCCTCAGTTACTGTTTTGTCTTTAAAGCATCACAGACTCAGAGGGAAGAATGAAAGCGACATCATAAGGACCGTGCATCAGATGTAACAGCAGGGAGAAAGGAGCCAGTGCTCCGATGGATACATTTTATTTATTTATTTATTTTTATTTTTTGCGGTGCTGGGGATTGAACTCATGACCTCACGCTTGCCAGGCAAGTGCTTATGCCACTGAGCTAAATCCCCGGCCTGATGAATACATTTTAATTGTGTGACTTTTTCCCCTAAATTTCCACCTCAGTATGATGTTTGTATGTCCCAGCTAACCTGGGTCAGCAAAGAACCTTGCCACCTATCTTTATCTGGAAGAAACAGATTTTTGAGGGCTGGAGATTGCCAAGTAGAGAATCCTTTTAAACTTTTTATTTTGCAATAAAGGAAACACACTAAGAAAAAGATTTGAAGAAATAGCTATTTTTCTGCTAGTATTTGTGTATGAGTAAATCTTTGGTTCAGCTGTGGTTTTTATTATACCTATAATGGAGTAAGAGGTTTTTTTAAAATTGTATAGACTTCCACTTATGGGTGTATTGGATGGTAGGTTTAGATTAATTTTTCAGGGCAAAATTGCATTGCAAATGCTGGTCATGATGCTGGATCCCTGGCAGTTAGACTAGTTCGTCCTTGAGTAGTTCTGGTGGAAATAGCTCGTGGTGATCCTATACTTAGGCGTGCGACATTGAGTGGTGCTGTTTCTGTGGTTGTCACCTGACACTCGCAGAGGCCTTCCACGCGAGGTTCTGCCCCAGTCTGCAGATGAGGGAACCAAACTGCATTGCTCTGGGGGGCAGAGCCTCAGCCTGAACTCGGGCAGTTCTGACTCTGACACCCACTGTCTCTTCTTATTCTGTGAAGCTGCTTTCTTTTCTAAAGTCCAAAAAGAATTTTCTCAGGGTTTTATTCCTAGTTGGATCCTGTTCTTACATGGACACCCATTACAAAAAGGAGCTGGTTTTGAAAATGACTTGTTGCCAATGTCAGCGGCATCTTTTGAACTCCAGACAATACATTGGCTGGTAATTCATTCTTTTGTTTGTTTTTTGAGACAGGGTCTCACTGGGTACTGCAGGCTGGCTTTGAACTCACTATGTAGCCCAGGCTGGGCTTGAACTCAGCGATTCTCCTGCTTCAGCCTCCTGAGTGCTATAAGTATAGGAATTCGCCACTATGCCTGGCTATTTATTCTGACATAACAGATAATTTAAAAATATTTTTAAAGTACAATGTCGACCAACCCTAGTCTTAGTGTGGAAAAGTTTTCCTCTTAGGAAGACTCAATTTTTAGAAACATATTTGCTTTTGTATTTACCTCCATTTACATGAAGGTTGCTTGCAGCTGATTTTGATTTTTTAATTCTGGGCGGTGCCTGTTCACTTCTGCCACAGAATATGAGGATTTGCAGCCCGCTGAAAATTCTTCTCCGTGGCTCCCGCTCTTCACACACTTGTTCATCCTCCTGTTGTAGGAATAGCGAATTTTGGGTTATCTCGCATTTGAGAGCTTGACTTATGATGACCGTCAGTGTTGCCTACATCTGAGCTACATGCTGTGCTTATACTTCGTTCCTTGCTTGCTTTCTTTTATTTTTATTTTTATTTTTTGTCTCTTTGAGACAGGGTCTTGCCACACAGGTCAGGCTGGCCTTGAGCTCACTTTGCAGCCAGGCTGGTCTCAGACTCACAGAGATGCTCCTGCCTCGGACTCCCAAATGCTGGGATTTTTACAGGAGTGCATTACCACACCCAGCTCAAAAAAGATGTGTTTTTTTAAATAGAGTACTAAGCCATAAAGAAAGATAAACTTGAGACTGTTTTTGGTCCCAAGGATTGAACCCAAGGACCTCGCGCTTGTCAGGCAGGCGCTTACCCCCTGAGGTGAATCCCTGGCTATCCTTTTCTCTCATACAAACTTTCATTTTCTTCTAGAGGCCACAGTTAGCTCCCTCTTCCTTTGGCTTTGCTCTGGCGGTTTCTCATCCGTTTGTTATCAAGCTTGCAGTGAGACTTTCTGTGAACCCTGGGCCGCCCACCAGCCTGGCTTTAGACGTCACCTCCAGCGCTCGCTTCTCTTCCTGGCACGCCCGTGCTGCCCGGCCTGGCCAGGCTGCCCCTGCCGCTTTGCCTCTTTTTGCGGCCTCAAGGTCTTCTCTTTAATAGCTGAGCCCTGGTTTTCCTCCTGTAGCTTTCTTATGAAAAGCGAGGAGAGGCAAATGTCTTTATCCTGTGGCTACATTTGATTGTTATGATTCCTTACCGAAGAGTCCTGATTATAGTTAGTTAAAAACACTTTAATCTGCTCCCTGGATGACTGCTTTGTATCTCCGTTGCTTCTCGGCTCTCAGTTCTGGTTTGTGCGTTTTTGCATGCATGGTGTTAGGGATGCATGGTGATCCTGAACTGCCCTATATTTTAGGGTGAGGCTCTGGAAAGCTGACTGGCCGCTTTGTATGGTGGACTTAACCACAGACCATGAGTTACTGTACTTCAGGTGGCCCTTTGGTGGGGACTTCCGCTCCCAAGTCACTAACTGCAGGTCTTTCCTTTGGGGCTCTCCCGGAATTTTCTCAGAGGCGTCCTTTACTCTCCAAAGCTGTCAGCCTCGCTGGCTGCGCTCTGGGCTGTGGGTGGGCAGTGGCGGTGACTGTCAGGATTCTCTCGGTCGAGGCTTACTCGTGGTCTGCCATGGCTCTGCCGCCCCGGGCTGGACCGCCTGGCGTGGTCTCCATGGTAACCCTGTATGTGTCTGAGGAGGGATGCAGAGGACACACCTGCCCTTACAGACCCCGCTCTGTCCTGGTGCGCTGGCCCTCAGTGCCGTCCTCAGCTTTGCGGTCCCCTCACACGCGTCCCTCTCTGGACAGATCCGTGGGCCCAGTCACCTCTTAGCCCGCACCCGGCTGCTCCTCCTCATCTTCCCACACTTGGGGAAACGTCGCTGCTCATCAGCCGCTGTTGCCGCTCCCCTCTTTTTCTTTATGACTTTTTTTTCTAATTCCCCACCCCTCTCTTCAACTCCTCTTCCCCGCCGTATGTACAAAGCCTTGTTTCCATTTTACCCTTTTTTCCTCATTTTTTCTTTTCCCTTCTAACCCCCATTCCCCTTTTCCTTTGAACAGTTATTTCCTATTTCACAGTATCGGTTTTACATTTTAGTCTTGATTTACACTTTCAGTTTGTCACACCAGAGAGTGTGATATTTACACATGTGTCTGGGTAAATACTTAAGAGAATGGTCTCATGGTGCCTCCATTTAGCAGTAGATGTCTCTGGTTTCCTCCTTTATGGCTGCGTAGTATTCTGTTTTATTTTTAAAAACCCCACAAGTGCCAGTGGGGCTGCGGGGAAAAGTGCCCTTTTCCGCTGGTGATGGACGTGCACACTGATGCAACCATGGTGTAAATTAGTGTGCATGTTTCTAAAAAAACTAGGGTTGGAGATTCCATTCACCCAGCCATTCCCCTTCTGGGTATGTTGCTAAGAGAATTAAGATCTGTGAGCACCCATGTTTATAGTGGCACAGTTCATAATAGTCAGATCTTGGAAACAGCCCAAATGCCCATCAACCAATAAATGAATAAAAAGTTAAAATCTTGTTTTTGCTATTTTGTTTTTTATGTCAGATTTTGGGCACGAGCCAAGATAAATGCGTATACCCATGGGATGTAATTTCTTACAATTCCGGGGATTCCTGGTTGGGGAATGATGGAGAGGGTAGGGCGGAGTGCATTTGTTTGGGCAGCAGTGAAGGAGCAGACGTCTTCACTGAGAAGCCATTCACTGCGCATGTCGCCTGGCGCTCATGAGGGGTTGGGGGCCCAAGCTCCTGGGAGACCCGGAGAGGGAGCTTAGCTGCTCAGTGTCTTCCATGGCTGTCTGCAGTCCACGTGGGTGATCCTGAGGTTCTTGCTTAGGGTGGTTTGGACTTCGCTGTAGGTGTGTTTTCATCTTATTCATTGAAAAGGTAAAATGATTGAAAACTCAAACATACCCTACTTATGCAAGGCGGGGGCCCGGAAGCCTGCGGTGAGGCTTCAGGTCTGCTTTTCTGGGTGGACGTCCTTGCTGAGTTTAACCGTGAAGGATGAACTTGAAGCCAGCCAGCTCTGGGGAGAGGGGGGTGGATGACCTCCTGGGCATTGCCCCTTGGGTTATTCATTCTATCTAATAATTCCATCCTCGTCCACTTGGAATTTAGCCGCAGTTTATTAAATTATAAGGGGCAAAAAAGGTTCTTCCCCTCCAGTTCCTTCTTCCTTTTATAGCTTAAAGTCTGTCTTTTTGTTTTTTGTTATTGAGACAGGGTCTCACTATGTAGTGCAGGCTGGCCTTGAACTCACTTTGTCCTGCCTCAGCCTCCTGAGTGCTGAAATTACAGGTGTGTGCTTACATGCTTGAAGGAATGAAGATACAGTACTTTTCCCCACGTCCCTGTTGTTTAGTGTGTGTTCTCCACTGGGCAGGAGACTGCAAGGGCTTCTTGGTTTTCCTTCCGACACCCCCTGCCCCCAGCCCAGCATCTGGTGCAGAACAGATGATCGGTGTTTACTTCCCTGGGTGTGCTCTGCTCACACGCATTCACGCTGCCCTCCCTCAGCTCTTGGTCACATCGGTCACTTTCTCGTGGAGCTCTTCTCTCTTGTGACTTCCAAGGAGGCCTTGCTCTCCAGGTGCCTGCCGCGCTCCCTGACCCAGTCTGCAAAATCCCGTGCTCCAGCAGCGCATCCTCAGCTCCTCGATGGTTTACGCAGTAACTTGGATTGCGCACTGCGTGTTGCCGAGCGGATGCGTGTCTTCCTGCAGTGGGGATCTTCTCTTCCTTCTGGCCCGGAGCAAATCCGGAGCAGACCCCCCACCCCACCCCCAGCCCCTTCTTGCTTTCTGCTTTCCTCGGCTCTGCTGAGTGCTTTCCATGTTCTTTCTCTGCATCTCGGCTCCGGGAGCTACTGTCGTGTCCTTTGCCGTTCATCACAAGACTGAGAACCGCTGGTGACAATGAGAGGTGCAGACTGCAGCCCCGGGAGCCCAGTGGTGTAAGCGACGCCCGCAGTCTAACTTCTGTCTCCCCAGATGAAAGTGAGGAAGGAAAGGGCTGCTTCTCCAAACCCCCAAGGCGCGGCCTTCCGGAGCCCCTTTGCACGGCTGGCTGCATTTCTGCGCTCCGCCAGTAGGTGCCGCCAGCAAGCGTGCACCTCTGCTTTGGAACACATTTAGCTCCTTCCCTAGATTAGTTCCCTTGGTTGGAAGTTTAAAACGCTGCATCTTGTATCTGATACAGCCTTTCAGTGCACAGCTGCCTTATATTGTTCAGCTAAGTATACACTTACAGAACTCAAAACCTGGTTGAAATTTTCCAGTCTAATTTGATGTTAACTCTTTTTTTTTTTTTGAGACAGGTTCTCACTATGTAGCCGGGGCTAGCCTCAAACTGTGCTCCTCCTGCCTCAGCCTCCTGAATGCTGGAATTACAGGTGTGCATCACAGTGCCCGGCCTGCTGTTAACATTTTTTGTGTTTAAAACACTTTGGAGTCATTTTTGAAATGTTTTATGTGATACGTTTAATCACATTCACTTTAAAGACAAAGTTGATTTCAACAAATAGTTGTCAGGTTCTTAACTGTGGCACTGCTAGGTAAGCCCCTCACTGGGTGTCACAGGAAGGTGTCTCTGGTCACTTGTCTGGGTCAGTGCACTGTGCTCCCCTTCATGTGTCTGTTTTGCACGAGCTCTGGGATTCACCAGCTGCTCCATCTTTCTTTTTCCCTGGCTCTGATTCCACACAGTTAGGAGGCGGGAGCTGCCCGTGTACCTTTCTCATCTGCATCTTATCTTTTAATGTTTCTTTAAAGTCAGGTGTGGTGGTGCACGCCTGTAACCCCAGCACTGTGAGGCTGAGGCAGGAGGGTTGCTGTGAGTTGAGGCCTGCCTGGGCTACATAGGAAGACCCTATCTCCCCCCTAATAATAATTCTGGGTAACTTAATATACGCCACTGACGTCCGAGGGGACAAAACCCAGGGAAGGCCGGAGATGGGGTCTAACAGGAACACATAGCCACTCAGAGGGCTGGACCCCGGTGGAGAGCTGAGCAGAGGGCGAGGGCTTTGGCTTGTGCAAGGGGCCTCCGTGAAAACCTAGCGTAGCCATGAAAGTCCTTTAGCATTCAGCGTAAGATGAAGTTTCTGCCGTCTTTTGTTTTTTAGCACAGTATTTGGTGGCTAATTCAGATTGGTAAAGCAAGAAAAGAAGATAAAACAATTCAAAGGGAAAAAATAACTCATTTGATTATAAGGCTTACCCATGGAGAAAACTCCAAGAATCTAAAAGCCAGTTATTAAAATTAGCCACGGAGTACCCTAACCCTAACCCTAACCCTAACCCTAACCCTGTTTGCCTTCCACCATGCAGGGGGAGTTGTGGAAAAGAAGGTGCAGGGGCCTGAGGTGACAGACCCGGCCTGGTGAAAGCCGCGGCAGGTGCCTGCCCCGGGAGGCCCCGCCGAGCTCTGCCACCTTGTTGCTGCCAGGGATTCGTCTCCTGATGAGGGCACGGGTTGCTGACCCTCAGGAGACCCTGCTGGTTCTACCCACCACCCAGCTTGTGTTTGTTCCATCCCAGGGAGGGAGACCCCAAGGGTGTGAGAGACTTCCCCCGCCCCAACGAGGTGTTTCCCCAGAGCGTTCAGACTATTAGTGTCTGTACTACAGCATTGCAAACAGTTAACACTGCCAGTAGACTGGTATCTTTTGTTTTACTGTGAAAAGCTTCACACTGACTAGCGTTCACCTACACAGTAAATACAGGTACCGTCCGTCACCTTTTGTGTGTGTGTGTCCAGTGTAAACTGGTGTGGGAAGATTGCTGAACACGGTTGCTTTTCTCAAAGTGCTAACTGGTGCGTGGGCTTCGCCCCACCTTGCCTTACGGAACTCACCTGCGATACTTCTGGAACAAAACAGTGCTCCAGTGCCCTCGGTAAAGACGCTGATTCAGGGGAGGAGCTGGTGTGTGAACAAAGCCAGATAGGAGTCTGATGATTAGGGAACCCGGGATCAGCCCAGTTAGTGGGCTACTGTCCCGCGAGGAGTTTCTCTGGGCTGCGTCCTAGGACGCTCCTGCTCTGTTCAGAGCAGCCGTTAAGATGCGAAGAATCAGGTTGTGCATGTGTTTGGGAATCCAGGCTGTTGTCTGCCACAGTAAAGCAGTGGGGGTGGAAATGCCCATTGATAGCTTCCTTGATGCCACCTGAGAGAAAAGCAGCATGCCCAGGCAGCCCGACACACCCTCAGAGTGGGCCACTTTCTCCCTGGACGCTGGACTTCACAAGAGAGCCCTATTTGCGGGCACCTCTAGCTGGGTTAGTGCCAACTCACTACTCATTTAACCTCCTGTCCCGATTGCCCTTCATGGACTTGGGTGCGACATCTGTGTTTCGGGTCAGTTTCCTCCCCTTCCCTGCCAGCCCAGAACAATGGGTTTTCTTAGTCATGCCACACAATCTTTAGGACCCCAAATTCCTCCACCCTGTGATTCAGGGTTCTTACTAACAACTTGTTGAATTGGCTTTAAGGTTTTAAGGTTGATTTTATTGTCTCAGAAACATCCAAATGAACACATTTTATGCATGTGAATGACTGGACCGCATCTATTACAGGTCATAGATAACTACATCTTTCCTCTTCTGCTTTGAAAGAAAGTATGAACTAACTTGTCAAAATTACTTGCTTTTAGAAAAACTTTAAACATTTTGTGCCCCATGGTCCTCATCTTCTTCTTAAATGCTTCACTGTCTGATTTATAAGATCAAAAGCTGTATTGTCTGAAAGGTGTTGATTGGTGCTGGAAGTTCTTCTTCCAAGCCTGTAAACTGACTGTCATTTGCAATGCTATTATGAAGGCATCTTATTTCTATTTGCAGCGTTGCAGGGGGTCGGATACTGTCGGTAATAAAGATGCGGCTGATTAAAGGCCAGAGCAGCAAGGCTTCCTTCTGCCAAGCCGTAGAGGAAATTGCTCAGGATTTGGATTTGCGGATTAAAAATATTGTCACTTCTGAGCAAGAGGACGGAGTTCTTGGCCCCACTGACACGAGTCCAGCACGGGTAACAAGCTTTTCTTTCCTGTTATCCTTTATACAAAACATTATCTCTCTTCTGTTTATCATGTCCCTGGCTTGCTGGGCCACTTCAGTCAGATAATCTGTTTCCTGTGTTCAAAGATGATGTTGAAATTTAATTTGCTCAATAGGATTATGTTCTGCCTGGATAAATCATAATATCTTTGGGCCGAACAGTTTGTATTCATTAAAGTAAGGCATTGGATAAGCTCCTTATCCCTTCTGGCACTAAAAACTTTGAATTCTTGATGGGCATTAAGGTATTTGGTGGTAATTTTCAGCAATTATTCTTGTAGAGCAATTATGTTCCCTCTTATTCAGAGGAGGAGCCAAGTTTCTGAGCCCAGTGCTCAGCTGTGGGCAGCACGGCAACACTCCGGGTAGAAAGGGTTTCCTTTCAGCAGTTCCCTTCTCTTTTACACTTCCTTGCAGTCTCGAACTCTCTGCACCCACTCCCATCTTTATACTGTGTATCCTGGGAGCATGCACTCCCTTCCTGATCTCCTTCCGTGGTCAAATGTAATAGACTGTAGCATGCAGTATTCTCAGCGAAGTCCAGTGCTCATTTTAGCTCCAGAGCAGAGTTCCAGAGCATGCGCAGTGGGCCGCTCGTGGCCACCTAGTCAGCTAAGGGAGGCCGCTCGTGGTTGGGTGTCACTGTGGCAGCCAATGTAAGGACAAATACGTTTGCTTAAGGTTTGTTATTTATTCATTTACTCACGCTGTTAGCCTTTTCCTTGGCACAGTAGAGAAGCAAGAGGAAGAAAAGAAAAAAGGCCTTCATTGCGGGGCGCAAAAGGGCAGCAGAAGAGGGCAAAGCCCCTCGGGCAGACACGGAAGTGGCGGGCTTTTATGTGGTTTGACGGGGGTGGAGTTTGAAGGGGCGGGCAGAATGATGCTATGACAGCTGATTGGGGGATGCTGGCGCATGCGTGAGAAGTAGGAAGTGCAGTCTCGGAGTGGAAGAACCCGGAAGTTAGCATAGGAGGGAATCTGCTGTCGCTCCAGGGCCCAGTGTAGTGCTGCGCAGGCGCCAGCCTGAGTTCCGTGCAGCTGACCGGTCCCGCACCTGTTACAGACCGTTCTTAGCTCTTCTGTAGCCATACATGTCTTTAGGTTCTCTTGGAAATCCTGGCATAGGGGAAGTTCTAGGATAGTACCCCGTTATTTCATGTGTGTTAACGTTTCCACTGACCAGTGGGGCTCAAACAGCCAGTGTGTTATTGTAGATAAAAATCAGGTACTGCTGCAATCTCAGGTCATTAACACCAGTCTGTCTATTTTCTGACAAAGAAAAGTGCAGACAACCTGGTTCTTCATTTTATATTTATTAAATACACATCTTTGAAAAATACCAAAAAATTGAAAAGAAAAATAGTATCACACCATGAAGGTAGGATTCCGCAGGGTGGGGTTCTGCGGACTGGATGCGAGCTGTGAACATTTTCGAGTTTACGTGGTGGCTCAGGTCTGCCAGGTAGTGCAAGGAGGCCACGCTCAGCTGAGCACTTTGTCCCCAAGGTACCAGGCAGACCAGCCTGACAAGAGTTAGTGGCTGCTGTCTGGTGGCCGGCGAGTTTAACTTCGGCAGCTTCTTCGGAGTTCTGGATCACGGTGCACATCTTAAGTTGGTGTCAGGCCTAGCTGGAAGTGGCTCAGGATTTATGCGTATGTCACGGTATCATAGATTTCCTTCTGTTTTCTTGTCTAGTCCCTTTTTAATCTGCTTTCTTTATCTCTAGCACTACTATGTTAGTTCAGACCTGTACTTTTATAACCTTTTAATTTATAGCTCTGTCTCCAGGATTTGATAACATTCTTACAGTGAAATACATTTTATTTTATTTTGGTGCCAGGAATTGAACTCACTACCTCGTGCTTGTCAGGCAGGCGCTTCTGCCACTGAAAGCCCTGGCGCTTGAAATACATTTTATATTACACTTGCTACTGGTGCTTTCTCATTTTCTTTCTTTTTTTTTTTTTAATTTTTTTATTTAAAGAGAAAAAACTAAACGAAGCAAGACAGTAAAAGGCTAGAAGCAACACAGAATTTCAAGAGAAAAAACATACAGTAAGAGTTCACCAGTTAATAGATCACACATTGTCATCTTACAAACAGCTGTCCAGATTACAAAATTAAAGTATACAAAGTGGAGATTAATACAGTGAGATTGCAGTCAGTTCTGTTCAATGATCCAAGAAAAACTCAGCAATATGGTTCTCTATCCTACACATTTAAGTAAACTTGCAGTTATATCCTTTAGATCACTTTCCTTCCTCTCTTTTTTACACTAATAATCACACATTTTAGTTTCCATTACTTCCACAGTTTTTTTTAACTTTTTCTTTGAAGAGGAAAAGAAAAAAGATTTTAAAAAAGGCCAAAAAACAAAAAACAAAACAAGACGGACCAAAGAAAAACCCAATGTGACAAAGCAAAACAGAGTCAGTTAGATCAGGAGGATGGACATAGCATAAAATGAAAAAAAAGGGGGGGGGATTACTAGGTGATCAACAGTGGTTACCATTATGCCTCTTGTTATCCTAAAAAGAGTAGCCTATATCAGCTAGTATAAAAGAATTGAACAAAACTGTACATAAGACCAATAAAACCACATTGGAGAGCTTACAGGATTCCAAAGAAGATAATAGTCAAATAATAATGGGCATCATAGAATATCTGGTTGCCTTCCAAATGGTTGCCTATACCCTCAAACTTGATACTATTAAGCGAAACAGAATATAATAAAATCAGTCAGAACAAGATGTGGAGAACACTACAGGGGTTCAAATCAGGCTAATAGAGAAACAAAAAAATTACTATAATCTATTGCACTATTTTTAATTTAGTTTTCCCTTAGTTAAAAGATACTAAGAAATAATTTTTTAAAAAAAGGAAAGAGAAAGGGGGGGGGAGATTGAGATTAAAAAAAAAAAAACATATCAATAGAACAACACCGGTTAGAATCGAAAAATTTAACCATCATTGTGTTTCACCCCCAGATAGCTTGACATTAATAGTAGTTATCATAGTGACTCTTTCCTTGAAATATTTGAGTCTAACTTCGTATACTATAGCATCGAATTTATCGACAGTGTGAGATATTGGTGCTGTCTCTAAAGTCCAGATTGGGTCATTGTCCTTGCTTGCTATGGAAGCAAGTGATCTTGTTTTTGTCATCCACTGACGCTTCTTTGCATAGCACAGCTTTTCCAGCACATCTTACCAACCCGCCTTTTCTTGTGTTTCCCGCCTGGCGGTGCCCACAGCTTCTGAAGATGCTGTGCCCTGCCTGTGTGTCCCCCACCTCTGAAGTCTCCCTGGGTGACACAGTAGTTTGTTAACTGGCTCGTGTGCATCCCTCCTGAGCACACTGATTAGAACTCTCCTTCAGCATCCTCAAAGGCGCTGTTAGAGCTGTTCAGTTATCCAGGAGAGCTGGGCTCCTGCAGGGCGGGGCTTTTACCTGTGTAGCTGTCAGACAGAATGCTGGGGACACACGTACCAGTCAATGATTATGGAATGAATGTGTGAATGTCAGCCCGCTTTTCATTTTCATATTTGCTGAGGCTTTCACAGCAATCTGTGTAATTAGCGTTCAGACTGCCTGAACTTCATCTTCCTTTAGAATCAGAGACGGCACCAAGATTTTCCTGACTGGAAGCCTGATGTTATTTTGACCAGGAAATAGGGTCTCCTTTCGATGTTGCCATTTTCACACATCTGGAAATTGGTAAGGTTGCTCACCTGTAGCTTACGGAGAAGTGCCCCGTGTGCCAGCTGCTGTGCTGGGTTGATTCTCAGCAACACGTCAGGGAGAAGACTGGCGCAGGAAACGGCAAAGTGTGGCTGATCACGCAGCTTGGGGTGGTTGTTACGTTTAAAGTTAGATTTTTCTTCTTTTCTTTCTTTGGCTATGTTTCCAGTACACAATACTTACATCTGATTGGTACTTTTTGCTGTAGCCAAAATCTCATGCCATAAACCACGGCACTGCCTACTGTGGCAGAGACACTGTGAAGACCTTGCTGGTTCTTCTGGATGAAGAGGCAGCCAGTGCGCCGACCAAGAACAAGGCAGAACTTTTATACAGCGACGGGAACACGATCCATCGCGACGGAGCGTCTCTCCTCACGCTTTTTAGGTCAGTAACATGGATGTGTGATGTGTCCCCGTGTTAACACGGGAAAAGATGGGGGAAATACTCACTGGTTCTGAAAGAAGTGCTGCTTGTAGTAGGAAATCTGGAAACAGCAAAGTACGAAGTGAGCAAAAGTTGGATGCAAAGACATAATAGATTGAAAGGAAAGTGATATTCACGTGTTCCTGGTTTTAGTGGGGTTTTTTCATTCTTTGCTTTTTGCTTTAAGAAAGTACTTACCTGCAGTAGATCAAGAACTTTGGTAAGTGCTTTCACTTAAATTATCACACATACCTCACTTACCTTGGAATTGACATCTTCCCATGATGAGAAAAAATATTTGCTAAATTAATGCTGGTATTGTATGTAAGATGCTGACGTCATCCTAGCTGCTCTAACAGGCGGTACCAGGAGTGAAGACTCCGCTTCTGTTCAGGCAGGCAGTGTGAGGTCAGGGTGCCAGGAGAGATGGGTGCTGGTGAGGGCTCTCCTTTGGGTGTGGTGGTGTCTTTGTGCCGTGTGCTCACCTGGCCTTTCCTGGATGGGGTCACCTCTCTCATCAGCGTAGCACCCTGCCATGATAGCCTCACTGAGGTCCTGGGTCACCTCCTAAAAGCCCTGCCTCCCCAAGCAGTCGCATTTGAGGGTTAAGCAAGGGCATACACATTCCAGCCCACTGCAGCCGCCCTCCAGTTTTAACAATAGATCAACCATTTACTAGGACGGTGCTATTTACAGCAAACATTCACTTCTAGGAACACGGGCAGTTTTACACTTGATCTCAGCCAGAAGGCCGAGAAGCAATAGGAATATGAACAATTTTAGAAGAACTGGTTTAAGTGGTATGTAGTACATCCTAGCGAGTTTTCATAAAACTAGCCTACTGTTTGGTGCTTTCTGTTTTCTTCTGAAGCCACCACTCAGAGAACTGGTTTCAACCTAAAACAGAAAAGGGATTAATTTAGTGGTGAATACAGGCCAGTGTGATCGGACTCTAGGAATCTCTTGCATTGTACTTACTCAAACTTCCAGGTTTTATTTTTCTCCTCTGAAGTCCCTTATATTTTGAATTTTAGTTATGTGGACACCTTATTTCTTTACTTAGCCTCCACGATGCCTGAACACAAGGCCAATGAGCAAATCAGCTTTCTGTCCATCCCAATATCTTGTATAGCGCCTTACAAATAAGTAAAATTCAGGAAATATTCAGTTACTGAATTGATCACTTGCACAAATGGTTAATGTTTGGGGAACTGTGGACTCGCTGGGGCTGCTCTCTGACTGCTGGCTTAGGTTGTGTAATCTGGAAATGACAGAAGGTTATCCCTCCAGTTCTAGAGGTGGGCAGTCACGGTGCCTGCAGACCCACTGTCCTTCGTAGGTGAGACCCGTCCCTTGTGGATGGCAGTCTGTTCTTCCATGATGCAAAAGGGCAGAGAGCACCACACAAACTCCCCGGGCTCTTTTGTGGTTGCCGCGCCCATCGGGAGGCAGAGTGCCCGTCAGCGAATCACCTGCCGGAGGTCCCACTTCGAGATCACAGTCAAACCTTAGCAACACGTTTTTACCGTTTTTGTTTTAACATAGATCTCCAACGCCAGTGGAGAACTCATCGATGAAACCCCTGAGGGAACGCATCAGTAAGTCTGTGCAAGAGAAGAAAGTCAAGGTACAGTTTAATGTACTTTCTTGAAAATGATAAACATTTCTATTTAGCAGAAATGAATGTGGGAAGCAGGAGAATGACAAGGAAAGGGAGTAATGAGTGTTGACATGGAGAAGCTTTCCTCTCCTACTATCCTGACTGTTCTGATTTTGGGCTGTTTAATCTACTAGACTGAAAAGACAAAAAATAAGCAGTTGCTTTTGTAAGCACTGAATAAATATTTGTTGAATGAATGAATGGAGACATGATGGCCCTTTTGCTTACATTTCTGATATTTTAAATGGATCTGTGAGACACTGTATGTGTTAGCTTTCCTTTACTGTAACAGATACCCAAGTCAATCAGGTTACAAAGAAGAAAGGTCAGTTTTGAGGTTCCAGTCTGCGTCTGGGGTGAGGGAAATGGTGCCAGATTTCCATGGCCCTGAGTACGGGACAGAGCAGAATGACACACCTCCTGGGTGTGACCTCCTGGAGTGACGTTGGTTTCCACCACCTGCCAACAGTGCCACGCTGGGACCAGACCTTCAGCCCGTGGCCTTTTGGAGGACCTGTCACATCCAAACTGTAGTACAACATTGCTTAAGTCTGCTCCTGTCTGAAGACATAGTGGCAGAATCTAATCAACTGTCCACTGAGATGGGGGGAATATTTTATGTTGTTTTTACTAGGGTGGCACCTTATATTGTCATTCAGTTTGAAGTAAATTTTTGAGTGTTTAATTTTTAGCTTGATGAGATAGAAAAACATGGGGGAAATTAGGAAAGGGCACTTTCAGGGTCTCTGAGAGTTTCTAGAGATGATTGGCGTGTAGGGTAGCAGATGGAGCTGGAGGCCTTCTCTGAACGTGGGCAGCACAAGCTGAGGACCCCGGGAGCAGAAGCCGGAGGAGGAAGTCTGCCCGCTCGGGCATCTCTCACCGCTTCCCGGCCACCAGATGAGCAGCGGTCCCCTGCCTCCGCTTCCACCACGCTGTTCTGCCTCCTCACAGGGCTAAAAGCAGCAGGGCCAGCGCTGCCATGGACTGGCGCCCCTGCAGCCGTGAGCCAAATTAAATCTTTCCTGAGTTGATTTCCTCAGGTGTCACAGCCTGAAAGCTCACACAGCTGCCTCATGTGAAATGTTTGTGCCTAGGAATTATTGGTAATGCGTTCCTTCAGGCATTTAAAATCTTCATGATCTTAGTTTTCAAAAAAAACCTGGCTTTAATTCAGTTACTCAACATTTAATTAAATATATACCTATACATTGTTATATAAATTGTTACATACATATAAATAAAATCACGGAGAGAATATACGTTCTGTACTTGAAATTCATCCTGGAGAGAGCAGTTCAGAAATAGAAAGTATTAATGAATTTAGAATTTTATGGACTTGATTATAAATCCCATGTCAGTAATGGGTGGGATTTAGGTTTTAGTTCCCTCATTCGTAGCTAGACACAGGTGCTCCGCCGTCCACAGAACCCTGCAACCACCGTGGGAACCGCTCGTGTAGGGCCTCAGCTTTCATTTCCTGCTGCAGTTTACTGAGAACTGTGTTTATTGTAGTCAAATGAACTTCCTTGTGAAGAAACCTGGAAGGTTCTTACTGGACCTTCCTACTTTTGATCGGAACTATTAGAGAACAGAAGAACCAGAAATGCTCCGGGCCCGCATGAGGCAGCGGCTGGGACAGTGCGGACGGGGAGCTCGGCCGCCTGTGATTTGCCGCCTGTCCGAGCCGCCAGGCGGCCCTGTGCTCAGGGTCTGAGAACTCTCCTGGGGAGGAATCCAGACTTAACCCCCGTGCTTAGAAACCTCCCAGGATGGCCACGGTGGTTTCAGTGACGCTCAGCAGGCTGGGGAGAGAGCTCAGCGGCCAAAGTGCCTGCCTGGCAAGTGCAGGGTCCTGAGTTCTATTCCTGCTACACACACCCAGTTAGGCTCAGTGCTTCCCTCTCTTGATACTCGAAATGAATACAAAATAATGAAAACTAACAAAGTCATCACCTAGAGCCAGCAACAAATAATAAAGCAATCAGATAACCGTGAACTCTCAGAAATGATGGCCAAGGAAAGAAGGGTATCCCAGAACAGAGAGGCAGCCTGCCCTCACAGCATCCTGCAGTCCTCACACCCCGAGGTGGCGCTGCCAGGTGAGCTGTTTCCAAAACCCACTGTCATTGACTGTCATCAAAGAAACAACAGTGGCAGCTGGAGGGTGACGTGCCCAAAAGGTGGGGAAGGAACTCGGGGACCGTTTCCCTGAGGTGGCGCACCCCAGCAGGAAGGCGACCTGAGGCAAGAGCACGTGAGTCCTGGCGCTGATGGGGAGAAGCCCGCGTGGAACCCAACTGGTGTGTCACAGGCTCCAGGGGCAGGGGACGTGCCGAGCACGGGGACTTTAGCGAGCGTCCACTGTGCCCACTGTCCCTCAGGCTGCAGAAACCCGAGGGACAGAGACCATGCAGCCTTCAGAACATAGCTCTCAGGAGAAAATGAGCCGCTGTCAAGTGAGGCACAGGTGGGCACCAGGGGCTTGGAGGCTTCTGCCCCGCTAGCGGAGCACAAGGCATGATGGGACAGGGCGTCTGCTTCACAGTGCAGGAGTAGGCAGCAGGTGAGGTCAGGATGCACAGAAGAGCAGCCGTAAGCAGTGTTTAGATGCGCTGCACCCTGGGGAGGTGAAGGCCCTCTGCGGTGGACCGTCTATCACTGGCTCTTAGGCGGCGCAGGCTCCAAGCTTCCGTTACCTCCAGAGATTAAAGAAGGGCGTGGCCGTTGGGTCTTGCAAAGATGACCACACTGTTTAGGTCAAAAGTTACTTCTCTGTCATTTAGCAAAGGAAAGGAAGTAAAGGAACTCACACCGAAGGGGAGAGAGAGATCTGGGTGTCTTGCGAGGCTGGCAACCACGTGGAGACTTCAGGAGACCTAAATGCAGTCATGTCTGGTCACTGTGGGAGGCAGGTGTGGTGCCCAAGGTCCCCCATGTCCTGGCCACTGGAGAAGTGGGATCCACCACCTGCTTTGAGTGCACGCTGGGCTCAGTTTGTCATAGACTTTCCCTGGGGGCCAGTGAAGCAGGGGTATCAGGGAGCATAGTGCGGGGCTAGGAAAGCAGATGGAGCCCCTGGACCCTGAAGCCAGAGTTGGCAGAGATCTTGCAATGCCAGGGCACACAGTGCCCGAGGAAGGGTAAGCTGCAGAGAGGACTGTGCACCAAGGACAGTGACTTCTCTGCTGGAGAGAGTGATCTGCCTCGACCCTTTCCACGCCCTCATAGCTGCTGCCTATGCAAATCCTTTAGAACGTTCATGAATTCACTCACCAACGCGTATTAGGTGCGCCCTGTACACCAGGCCCTGTGCAAGGCACTGCGGTGTATGAAACAGACACAGAGACCCTGCTCTCACCGACGAGGCTCCCCACACATCTGTGCGGCAGACTGCCATAGTGGACGCGGTGTGATCCGTGGTCAGGACGTGTGGTCCCTAGCTATCCCCCCCTCCCGCCCCTGGCTTCGGATGGACGCACTCACCCCTGTCCTTGCCCCTTTGCGCAGCAGCGCTGGGAGTTCCCCTCCCATCGCCTTTGGTTGTGCTGCTGCCTCTGTGCTAAGTCAGAACCCTGAGCCCTTGGCCATTTCGACTTTGAGGAGAGCCGCAGGTCGCACAGGGCTGGATTTACTGTGTAAGAGTCCAGGACTCCGGGTGCTTTTGCGCACCTGCCTTTTCGTTTGTCGGCCCGTGGCTCAGCATTCCCTGTGCTCCTAAGCACCCCTGTAAAGACACTCACCGTGGTGGTGGGGGAGTAATTTGAGGGCGATTAGGAGCAAGAAATCTCTCACTGTAGCCACATTTTAAAGACTCCAAGTATTGCATGTGGATTTCCATCGCTCCCTGTACACAGATCCCCAGCCCAGGCCTGGGCCTGTGCCCTCCCACCCTATTTCCTTTCGTCCTTAGAGGGGGACCTGATGTCAGGAGACCTCTGTGAGCCGAGCTGGAGGCAGCAGCAGCCCGGGGCCCCTGAGTTCTGGGAACCCCCGGGTTCCCCAGCCTGCTCTGGGAGGTCAGAGCCCCTCCAGCTGCCGGATGCTATGGACTTTACTGTTCGTGGAGTTTGTTTTATTTGAGAAAAGCAGACAGTAGTGAAAACAAGCGGATTATATGGGATATTAGAAGGTGATCAATGTTACCGAAGAAAAGCCGGGAGAGTGGAGGGAGGGTGCTGTTCGTGTTGTGATCTTAAGTAGGGGAAGGAGAGGTCTCCTTGGGTGACCCTGAGCAAGGGCTTTTCCTGGACCGTGTTAGGCTGAAGGCGTTCAGAACCCGTTTGGGCTGAAGTGCTGGGTTGGGTGTGTTAAGTAGCTCCCAAGTGTCCAGTGTGTGTGATGATGGACGTTGGTGCTCCTCACCCCAGTTCGTGCTCAGCTACAGAGCATTTCCCGGCTGGCTGCAGGCGTAAGCAGGAAAGAGCAGGACTTGGTTTGCAGGCGCAGGCTCCAAGCTCCCGTTACCTCCAGAGATTAAAGAAGGGCGTGGCCGTTGGGTCCTGCAAAGATGACCACACTGTTTAGGTCAAAAGTTACTTCTCTGTCATTTAGCAAAGCAAATGGCATTTTCACCGTGGAAGCCATTTGTACGTGTTTGACATATGTGCAGATTCACAGGCCATTCGAGGTACCAAGTGTCGATTGTTTCCAAAATGTGATGATGTAAGAATCAAAAGGTACACGGAGGACATTTATTTTTAGTTCTGACTTCTTTGTTTTCCAGAACTCTGAGTGGATCGGTGTAGCAGAACCTCAGAGTTTTCCTTCTCTTACTAATGCGGCTCTCGGAGAGTCTGTGAGTCTTCATTGCTTGGACTCATTCATCTTAATTTAAGTGGAGTCAGGCTTTCCTATGTGAAGTACTATTTTCCTCAAACTGGGAACCTACTAATAATTTCAGTTTTAAAAAAGAGCTTGTGGCAAAAGGACTTTTCTAATTCTTGGCAGGTTTGAAGTTCATTGCAATTTTGCTGTGGATGGAAATCTTTCCAACGGGGGGAAAATCACTCTACAAAGGAAAACTTTCAATCTGTTTTTCTCATGTGACTTGAACATAAAATGATTTTAACAGCCATGTATGAATCTGGACATTATTCTTAGTTGTTTAGTACTTCAAAAGCACTTTCAGGAGGGAATTGTTTTGCTTATTTGTGATTCCAAATCAAATAAATATACGGAGAGATTTGGAAGATTTGCAACAGGAAGTAGCCTCAGTTCTGGGTAGCCACAAATCTTGTGCAGAAAAATCCAACTTTTATGAACAAAGGAAAAGCAATCCCTTTTATGTTGTAAATGCAAGTTAATGTAGCTCGCATTTAAAAAACATTAAAATGAAGAAGCTGATTGTAAGTTCACTTTTTGAGCTGCAGCCCTAGAATCCTTTTAGAATTGGCCTGGTTCCGAGAGCTCTAATTCAACAGATCTTGTTTTATAGGAAGACTGATTTCATGTTTGTTTATTCTGGTAACCACCCAGTATCTACTTTAGACCTCTAGAATTTACGGAGACTGTTCTTATTTTTTCACTTGTAGTTCTGACGACTTTCCGAGGTAAACGTTGTTCTGTTTGTGTGCGGAGAAGCGGGACACACAGTGGTTTATCCGAGGTTATGTAGACACGAAGTCCTGAGGCCCATGTTGGGGCTGCGTCTTTGTGTGACGCGGGTGCTTTTCCTCGTGACCTCTTCTGTTTCGTTTCCATCTTGTCAGCTGGTCATCCCCCTGGTGGCCACAGTCGAGCTCCTGGTCAGTCACCAGCTTCAGGTCTTTTCAGATGTGCTTTTAGCTCAGGTCCTCCTCAGCCTGTGCATCGGTAATGGATATGTCTGAAGCTAAGCATACGTCTGTGTTTATCCCCATCCGTCCCATCTTCTCATTTGCTACTTATGGGTCCAGCCTTCTAAAATCTTTTCAACCTTGGTTTGTTATACAGTTTATTTGTTATTCCGTCCAGCTGTGTGTCAACAACAAATTTGCTAAATAGAATGTCTTTGTAACTGTAAGACCCTCTCTGGTTATCTCTTACGTACACATAGCTGGAATGCAAAAGGTACTACTGATTAGAAAAAGACATTTCTGTACAGGGCAGAGGAAGGAAAACCCATATATAATGTTATAAAAAATACTATAATTCCCCTCAATTATTTTGTATATAACTACTGTAAGAGCATGATGGATTGTGATTGTCTTTCTAATTTTGATGTTTATAAATATTTTTATGGTAATAAGCAAAGTGGGTAAACTTTTCTTCCACGTCCCTCAGCCATCAGGAATCCATTGCCTTGTAACTTTGTCTCACATTGTCCTGTGGTCGTTCTGGGCTGTAGAGTTTCTCTCTAGGAGTCCTGAAGAGAAGAAAGCAAGTCCTCAAGAGAAGTGGGGTGCATCCTTTGTGACCATGTATATGGAAGCAAAGATATTTTTACTTAGATTATATCGAATTCAATAAAAAGTCAGCAAAGCTTTCAAAAGAACTTACTCATGCTGGATGTGAGGTTGAGGACCCCTGAGTTCTCCGCACTATCTGCAGTTCCTGTCCTTTCCTGTAGACAGCGCTGAAGAGTGTGGAGTGGGCTGCAGTCAACTCTGGGCGCCGCCCCTCCTGGGCACTGTGGGCGTGACCGAGCCAGGCACTAGGTTAGCGGCCCCCTGTCTGCGTGGACTTACCATACTGTTGTAGTCAGGGGTTCTACATAGAGAACAATTAGGATCAGGACATGGAGTTTATAATATTTTTATAATGGTCACCGGGAGTTAACACAGAAAAATGCAGGAAATCTATCCTCAACGCCAAAGACATAGATTATTTAGTCAAGAGGCTAAACCCCACGGCAATGTCCCACATGAGTCCAGATAAAAACCCAGAGCTCAGGACAGTGCCTCCCAGGAGTCCATCTGGAGGTCCAGAGCCCACAGGAAGGACTCACGCCAGTCTCTTTTACGGAATCCGTGCCAGGAAGACCCAAGGGTCAGTGGTGGAAGCCAGAAAGTCTATGCCAGCAGGATGAAGGAGCTGTGCTAGTGGGATGAGGGTTCTACTCTGGAGCCGAGAAGTCACACAACAAATATCAGGGCTGTCCTGAAAAGCACCACAGTTGTCCTCAGCAACACGGAGGCCCCGAGGTCCTCTGACAACAAGCACAGTCAGGTACGTGCCAGGAAGCAGCGTGACGAGTTCATCCTGGAGACCAAGCAGCACATGTCTTCCCCTCCGGAGCCAGGAAGCAACGCTCGATGTGAGGACCAAAGCCTCTCCAGGACAACCAACAGCTCAGAGAGCAACTCGTGGGAAAACCCACAATGCCTCCTTAACACCTCAGCCCTCCACACCGCCCTTCTCCACCTATTTATCCTGGCAAACCTCCTCAGGCGAGCATCTTCACTCAATGCCATGCTGATGTAATCCAGCTGGCGTTAAGTTGCCCACCAGTTCTCAGTCCATAACACATACCCATTGTCATTGTTGAAAAGCGTAAGTTTGTAATTTTCTGTGAACCGTTACTGCCGAAATGAAAGAAATGCATGGAAGGCAGTGCCCATGATGGAAACAGAAGCTCATGAGTCGATTCCTACGGCATGGTGCACTGCAGCATAATGTAGTTTATTATTAGTGAGGTTTCTCGTAAGAGATTTACAAATTGCTCCAATTCTGTATTCATAGGGTCAAGTCCAGAAAGAGCCACCTAAAACTCTCACTTCTGTCCTAGGAAGTCTTGGGGGATGCTGTGTGGGAGCTGTGCTCGCAGGGACTCCTGGGGTGGTGGAGTTACAGGCTCCTCTACAACAGCCCGCTCCAGTCCACTTTTTTCAAAAAGTAGGTTTTAAACAGTATATTTTATTTTTAAAAATTTTATTTTGAAGAGAAGAAGCAAAACAAAACAGAATAGAGCCAATCAAAACAAACAAAACAACCAATCAAAACAGAACCGTGAACATGACATGGGACTTTAAAACAAAACAATAGGCAATCAACAATGGCTACTGTTAAGCCTCTTGTTATCTTCAGAGGAGCTGCCCATACCGAAGACCAGTTTATTGATCTTATACTCTTTGATACTTTCATGCAGTTTTGTGTTTCAGTGGAGGCAAACAGCAAACTCTAGTTGTGGTGAGACATAACTGGTCATCTCTCAGACTCCAGCGGTGAGCTAGAAAATTGATCACGCTGATGAAATTTACTTGCAAGGCTCGGCTGCACGAGGTGCTTTTCCGCTTCCTCATGACCCGCAGCTGGGGAGCTCACTCCCGATTCTTTGCAGACATCTGACTGGGTGGTTTAGTGTACTGCTCTCTTTGGTTATGTAACCTAGTACATAATTACTGAATAGAATAAGTAGAGTTATTATATAACAAAATCATTTGTTTTGTTATCAATAAATACTCCAAGTAACACTCAGCATAGTGTTGTTAACTTGGAGGTGTTAGAGGATTCGAGGTGATTTCTAATTATTTGGAGAAGTCTCCCCACAATACCTGAATAGCTATAGAGCAGTGTAATTGTTGAGATTTGCTAGTTTATTCTGGAATTCATTCCATCTATAAAGCACTCAGTGGTTATGCTTGCCCAGGGTATTTCCAAAACTATCCTTTTGCTATGCTTTTTCTTAAATTTAAAATTTAGTTCTTCTGTCTTTTTTGTTGTTGTTGTTAATGTTTTGAGACAAGCTCTTGTTATGTAGTTCAGGCTGGCCTTGAACTCACTGTGCAGCCCAGGATGGCCTCAAAGTTGTGACAGTGCTCCTGCCTCAGCCTCCCAAGAGCTGCGATTACAGGCATGTGCCCTCATGCCTAGAAAATTCTTAGCTCTTGTTTTCCAAATATTCAAGTTTTAACCAAAAAATAATGTCTTCCCAATACTGTTATTTTCTCCTGCTTTTATTTCATTGCTAGTTTCCTGTTTCTATTTATTTTGACCTGTTTTTTGAATTCTTACACTCCCCCTCCCCAAAGAGTTGTGCTTGGTGTATTTCTTACAATAAAGACCTTATATTTTTCCTATGTTTGGGAAATCACATGTGTTATGATTTCACTTAAAATAAAACTCACTCCCAAAGCAGCCCCAACACAGAAGTGAGTAACAATAGTCTTTGAAGAGTCTGAAATTCATATTTTATAACTGATACAAAATATATTTAAAATATACAGAAAATTAGTATTGCTGAAAAGATCAAAAATGCTACATGTAATAGGAAGTGAGTTTGTGAACTGTAAAACGCAAGAGGGAAACAGTTCTCAGTGAGAAATGGAATTGCTAAGATACTTTTGTGATACTTTGAGTATGTAAAAATGAAAAAATCAAGTATAAGTTGCATATTTTTCTTTCTGTTATCAGATGAAGCAAGCCTTAATTAGATCCCAGTTTTCCTGTACTTACAAAGATGACTACATGGGGAGCAAAGATAAACAGAAGCACATAAACTGGGCACCGAAGCTTCTGCATGCTCTTCACGTGGAAAAGGACCTTTCTGGTAACTGACCTTAATTCTAGTCCCTGTTGATCTGAACTTGAGCAAAACGAGGTTATTTTTGCGAAGTACTAATATTAAATACAGTCTTACGTTTTAAAGAACAGGATTTATTTAAGATTTAAATCTAAGAAACTTATGGATAGGAATAGGAAACAGTTTGATTTAGCTAAGTGGATTTAAGAAATAATTTATGACATATATATATACATAATGATTGATATCCTATATTCAAACGAATATCCATTGGTAGGAATGAGGTAGTATGGTATAATGAAAACTAATGTGATAATGTAACTGTGTGTGTTAGTCATCTAACTGGTTAGTATTTTATTATAAATCACAGATGTTTGAATAGTTTGCTTTTTTATTGGTATATGTTTGCAATGCATAAAATTGACACTCATTTTGAGGAATTGGTGTATATATATATACTATATGATCATTTTTGATCCCTTTTTCTCTCATTTAAAGTTTTAAAATTTTCCTGAGTAACAACCCCCAATATAAATATGATTCCTCTCCCCTTTTTATCTTGCATAACAGAGGGTGTCGATCCGTCTGCTGGAAGATTGACAGTTGGAACCCATTCTGGAAATATCCATCTGGACAGAAGTAAAAATGACCGAATAGCAAAGAAATCAGACAATCAGACAGGAAATAAAAGCTCAAAGAGGAAACAGCTGGACGCGGATGGTCCAGATAGCCTCTGGGCTCCCGGAAGTGAACCACCTCAGTGTAAAACTGCTAAGCTCCCTGAAGGGCCAAATGATTTACAGAGGAAGGCGGGCGGCAGAGTGGCCGGGGTGGCCAGGGGCAGGCCGTGTGCCAGAGCCGCGCTGGTTCCCGGCCAGACCAAGCTGACTCGGTTTTTTATGCTGTGATTTTGTCCTCCATGTGCTCTGGATCGACCCACCAATGAAGCCATTCACCAAAACCATGTGCTTGTAAAAGATCAGGGTGCAAACAGCTATAGGATCATCTATTGTTTAAAAACACACTGAGTCATATTATGCAGAATTGTCACAAAGTTTAATGCACATGAAAAGAAGCGTATCATTTGGATTGAGGGTCCATCCATCTTACACAGCCTTGTTTTAAAAGAGATGTTTAAGATAATACAGAAATTACAGTAACACGAAGGGCTTTTCTCCCCCTGGGCAGTGGAGTGCCTTGATTTTCTTCCGGGAAGACGGCGTGGTCCAGCAGGTCTCAGACTTGCCAGCAAGGTCGGTAGACTCTGCCCAGCATGCACCTGAGCACTGGAGGAGACAGGTCAGTTATTAAAAGGGTCATAAGCACCGCAGAAAACAAAGGGAAAAACGGCTCTGTTAAGACTCTGAGTAACCGCAGTCACCATAACTAGATGCTTTTCTAGCCCAGATTTCTGACAGGGGCTGCTTAAGATCAACCAGCCTTGAACCATGGTCGTATTTATTGTGTCATGATCAGACCCAAACTCACTGAAGCTCGGAGTTCTTGCATGGTATTGAGATATAAGAGTCGAGTTTTTAAAAGATTACTCACTGTCAAAATCTCTCCTTCCTATGGGAAATTTAGCTGAGTTCTCTTCATCCCCAATTTCTCTCTTTTCTTGTGTTGATTCAACATTCTGCACTCCATTCTCAGCCGGAAAAGCTACAGAGCCTTTCAATGCAAGGTAAGGCTTTAGGGCCAGATTCAGTGGCAGACCATGGTTCAGGAAACTAGGTTTGGAGCCTGCGTTCTGTAAAGAGAAAGTCGATCCGTGTTTCAGCTGTTGTCTGTGGAATGGCGCTATGATAGTTGCAGTTGTGTGACATCCTTATGGATCAGTTTAGATGGGCTCTGCACTGCTTCTGACTCTTTAGAAATACCTTCGAGAGAAGTTTACTGCAAATAGAACACCTTTGGAGAAGAACTATTCTTCAGGGTGGAGAACCACAAAGTGCACATGAAATTTCATGAGTCTCCCTAATGCATTTGATGACTATATGTACATTTTCCTGTTTATAAAACAAACACAAGTACAAATTCTACCTTTCAGAGGATTTGCGTAAGCCATTTCCCCTCCAATAAAACAGTCACACTGCCCTTACCTTTGGATTTTTGTTGTCCTCATCGTTCATGAAACCACTGTCCTCGCTTTTATACTGCTCCAGAGGAGGAGAAACGACCGATCTCTCAGCGGTGTCTTCCTTCTGGAAGGCCTTCCCCATCCGGAATGCGTTGAACACCAGGTCGTCCTCCAGGTTCTTTATGGACCTGGAAGCTGAAAGCAGAATGCCTTGGGAAAACAAGGAGAAGGTTAGGATTAGTACGCAGGAAGAGAGACTCATCTTTGCCATTCTGTTTGGTGTTTGCGTATGTGTAAGACGAAGAAAACCTGTGCTGTCAGCTTGCGAGCTGCGCGATTCTCTTCCTTTATATATGTTCTGTCTTGAATGGCACACACTTCAAAGGCTTAACGCGCTCCTCATTGTAGGAGTGACTCACCGGGGAGGCCGCCGTCCGCACGGTGGCTGATGCCCGCTTGTCTGGGTTTTAGTGGTGTGTTGTTTATTTCCGCTGTGAGTTTTCTGAGACTCTGATTATGACCCTTGAGAGAAGGCTGGGTGTCGGCGGATTATGGTCTCTTGAAAACAAGTTATTAAGGAGACCACAGGAGGCCGAGCCCACCTGCTGTCACCTCCCTGCCCTGTGTCTCCCCAGGAAGTTATTAAAACTCAGGTGTCTTCATTCAGAGATGATGAGGATAAAAGTCTTATTTCCTTTCAATCCTGATTACCCTGAAATAATCCTCTGCAAGGATTTCATTGTGTAGATGCTTGACAGAGTCTTCGGTGATTAAAATGCGCGGTTTCTGCCAGTGTGAACAATGTCAGACGTGTTAATCTCTGTGTTTACAACAGGGTAAAACTGACATTGGTGACTCCGGCATTTAATGGGTAAGAAGTGGCTGGGGAGAATGTCTGTGCTGGGTGAGCAGCTAACGCTGCTATGGGCTGGTCCGAACACGGAGTTCATCTCTAACTTCGATCCCACTGAGTAAGAGCGTGTGTCTCGTACCAGGAGTTTGGATAGCCCAGATTCCTAACCGTGGAGTTGGTGGGTCGGCAGGGAGGGTGTGTGCCGTGATTGGCAGATTTGCCGTTACCGACCTCACTCCTGCCGTATGGCCTTGGGGTGAGGGTCCCCTGCTCCACGCCCTGGCCAGTGTGTGGCCACCGCCTTACCCTTCCATTTCTATTTCCCAGATCATCAAAGAGCTCAAGGCCTTTGCATATGCTTATGTGCCTTTTATTTTGCCTCTTCATACAATACCTCCTTTTCCCTTACCCATTGTTCAGTTGGGTTGCCTTTTCTAATTGATTTATAGGCCTTCTTTATAGGGTATCCCAAATATTAATTATTTGTTAGCTCTGTGTGTTACAGATATTTTCTCTCCGTTTTTGGCTTCTCTGTTCAACCTCCTAATGCTTTTAATGAACAAATTGCTCAATTGTAGCATCTAAACTTTCATTTGTGGTTAATACTTTTTAAATGTGTTCTGTTTTAGCAATTCTTCCCAACTCTGGGATTACTTACACACTTTCATGTGTATTTACTTAGTTTTGGTTCCAGGGATTGAACTCATGACCCTGTGCTTGCCAGGCAGGCCCTTATGCTGCTGAGCTAAATCCCTGGCCCTGTGTATTTTCTTTTAGGAGCTTAACTGTTTTGATTTTCACTTTGGGATTCTTGATTCTTCTCGAGTTTTGTATGTGACATCAGGCAGCAGTAGTTTGTCTTCGGCCATGTCTTCCCACGTTTCTTGGGTAATTCATCCGTCCCCAAGGAGCCACAGTGCCAGCCTGGGTTTCTCAGGTCCCATTTTCTACAACAGGTCCCTCAAGTCCAGTCTCATTTCCACAATCTTCAGAGTGACTTCATGTTTTCATGCTCTAGCAGGTAAAGTGTCCTGGGCTTCTACTCACATAAACTGTTTCTTGGACAGCAGTTGCAAGGTGTTGTAGTAAGATTTACAAGGTAAAGGACTGAGTACAGGACATGTAATTTATAGAATTATTTTATTCTGGTCACCCAAAGAGAAAAATGCAAACGTGTGCGAGAGGTCTGTCCATACACTAGAGAATCAAAGAATCCAGCTGAGAGCCAGGGTCCCACAGTAGTGACCTGCAGGTGTCCATCTGGAGGCCTTGAGCCGGTGACACTGTCTCAAGGCTCTGCTGGGAAGGCCCAAAGGTGAGAGGTGGAAGCTCCAAAGTCTGTGGCAGCCAGATGAAGGAGCTGTGCCGGCAGCTGAGGGTCTGCACTGCAGCCAGCAGCGACACTCAAAGTAAGGACCAGAGCTCCCCAAAGAGACCCGCGGCCATCGTCGGCAACAGCGAGGACCCGAGCTCCCCCGTGAGAACAGCCGAGTTCACATCAGGAAAACCTGTGTGACAGCTTCTCCTGGGGATCACCAGCACCGTTCCCCAAGTTCTCTTGTGCCGCTGAGGACACTCCTCAGGTGGGCCCTCCACACCCGGCACGGCTGACTCAGCTCAGCTGGGGGGTCACAGAGTGACCATTAATCTACCGAGCACACATGCTGTCCTTGGCTGTTCCCATATTAATCTTAACACCAGCTTTTTGAGTTCTGTGGAAAACTTGATAGGGATGCTAAGGGGCATTTTTAAATTAAATTTCTTTCTTTCTTTTTTTTTTTTTTTTTTTTTTTTTTTGAGGCAAGGTCTCCTTATGTAGTTCAGATTGGCCTTGAACTCACTATGTAACCCAGGCTGGCCTTGAACTCCTAGGGATCCCCTGTCTCTGCCTCCCAAGTGCTGAGCTTGTAGGTATGTGCCACCATACCCACCTTAAATTTCTTGTAAATGATAACTTTTAAGAAATCATTTGTTTTTTTTTTTAACATTTTTACTGGTATGTACAAATGCAGGCATTTGTAAAAGTGATATAGAAAAATATACTGTTTTTAAAATCAACTAGTCTATAAGTGTATGGTTTTTCCTATGAAGTCAGTTGATACAAATAAACTAATAGCATTGTATTTCTTCCTCGTAGGTTTATCAGTGGGGTGTGTGTGTGTGTGTGTGTGTGTGTGTCCTTACATACCAGCCAAAACCTGTAGGAAAGAGTGGGAAGGGAGGTAGCAGACATCGTAGCAGTATTACTGATTTCACAGAGTGGTTTTAGTGTTCCACCATCGAAATACCGTATTTGCCAAAGGTTCCCTGTAACCCTACAGTGCAGGATGCTGTTTCTGACTTGCCAGTACTTTTATCGTGAATTGTTAAATCTTACTTAATGCTCTTATTGTATTATGTTGTCGAAATAATTGTCATTTCCACCTTCAATCTTTTTCTTTTTTTAGAGTAGGATATATTTATTGAGGGAAAGAAAGCTTCCGTCTGAGAGAGACGGAAGGGGTCCGGGGCAGGTTGCCCCTACCTTCAGTCTGTAGCAAATTAGTTTTTCTAGTGTTAAACCAACTGTGTGTTCGCGAGACAGCACGTCAGTGGTACTTAATTTGGTGCATTTTGTACTTACCATTCAGAGTGACATTGATCTGCAATTTCCCCTGTGGTTTTGTTTGGATTTGACATTAAGATTTTATTAAATTCATATAATAAAGAGGGGGCAGGCTTATTCCTGCTTTTCTGTAGTAGTAAACTATCTGGGTTCAGGGTTTTCTTTGTGATGAATTTAAAAACGATTGGTTTGCTTTCCTCGAAGGCTGTAGAAAGACTTTGCTGGTTTCATTTTTTAGGGATTTACATGATTCTATAGTTTGTCCAGTGGCTTCCCGTGGATTGTACCAGAGAGGCAGCAGCAGCTGGGACTCCCTGGGGACTGCTGACACCTTCGGTGCCCGCAGGCTCCTGTCTTTGTAATGCTGACTTGTTTCCTAGGGTCTGAGACGGCTTTGGAACCTATAGCACTGCTTATTAATGGTGCCCTTTCTTAGTGGCTGGGCTGGGAGTGTAATAACTATTACTAATTATGTATTTTGTTTTAAGTTTCCACTGGGTGAATTGGTTTGGCTGGTCTTCACTCAAAATTGGGACCAAATCCAAAACCATTTTGACGGTTTAGAGAAGTTAGTTAATATTTTCCTTTATTTTGCTTAAATTGTCGTAGCCTCTGAACATCCCGAGGGCTTCCCATAACCGTTTAATTATGGAGATAGTTTCCAATTTTCTTAAATGATAACTTTTTTCACCATTGCTTACTCTGATGTGCAATGAAGCATGGATTTCTTTTTCATTGATGCTGAAAATGAAAATGTCCCCAAGTGGTAGAAAGAGACTTTGAAGAGAAAAACTATTGCCAGATGGGCTTGGATGGTTCAGACAGCCCTGGGAAGTCACGAGGCTTGTGTCAAATGTGATTGTCATTATCTGCAGAACTACCACACATCAGCCGTCTACACCACCATCAATTTGTAAAGCACTTTTAAACGTCTCTTTCTTCCAATTAACATTGCTTTGCCATATATTGCTAATAAATTTGCTGTAAATCAAATGCCCATTGCTGAATACTGAATTTCTTAATGGCTAAATTTAGGAGTATGAAGGCCAAGATTGTTTACCAAAGACACAAGAAGACAGAGTTCTTTCCCTAGTTTCTGCAGTGATCAGAAACTTGAGAACTAGATTCTACCATTAATATTTTATCTCGCATTCCTGCCAGGTGTGGTGACACACCTCTAACTTCTATCCTGCTGTTCTGGGGATCAAACTCATGACCAAACGCTTGCAGGGCAGGCACGGACGCCACTGAGCTAAATTCCCCACCCACCATTCCTCTTCTTTAAGTGGATTTCAGAGTATGTTGCATAAACCAGTGTACTTTCCATGAAATATGTTAGCATACGTATCATTAGTTGGTATTTAATATCTTTATAGTTTTTTCTAGTGGGGTAAGTTTTACAGAGAATAAAATGCATGTCCTGTGTGTATGTATTTGCTGAGTTTTGACAAATGTGTGCATCTGTGTACAGAACGCAGGGTACTGCTGTTACCTGCTGACTTTGCCCTGCCTTTCCTAGTTTTCCTGTAACAGCTGCCGCCACGTCCCTGCCTCTAGTCCTTTTCTGTGTGGCAGTAACCATTGTGACTTTCCCACTGCAAATTCCGTGTCCCGCGAAAGCTTTACGTGCCATCTACACATGAAGATATTTTCCTACGTTTGATCTAAAAACTTTCTTGTTTTAACTTTTTACCTATCAGTCTATGATCCACTTCATGCTAATTTTTGTGTATGCACAGAGTAAGGGTCATGTTCTTTTTTAATGTAGAAATCCAGCCATTTCTATGTGTTCATTGAAAAGATTTTTCTTTTCTCTATGTCTATCAAAAGTTAAAGGACAAAATTAAAAGTCT